TGCGCTTTGTTATTTATGGATCATGGTAGTACGTCGATTCACGGCGGTTTTCCGCTGGACGGCCGGCGCACTTCCTTAACTGTTTCTTGAAGGATAGACTGACGGTTGAGATCATCGCGGTATCCACTTGAGTAAGTCGGTTCACAGACTTCGCGCAATTTGTGCGGACGGCTGTGGACAAGCGTAAAGCACTCGGTCCAGGGCGTTAGATTGGTCGATCTGGGTCAATATGTAGCTTTGATACCGTAGACCGTTCTGATGACAGCGGCAAAACTCATCACTTCTTTGGATTTCTCCAGGTTTGTGGGTCGGTCGATTGCTCCCTGCAAAGGGTAGCGCCGTAGTGGCATTGGACCAATGCGGTAACCATAACTGAGAATGGCAAGCGTTACCGGGTATCGCAGAGTCCGCGTATCTCGTAACAAATGCCACACACGGAGATATGATGGTACGCCTAGGCTCTAGCTTCACACCGCGCTAGTACTTTTCGCCCAATCCTGGCGTCAGACGGTTGACCAACTCGAAAGTCGGACTGGTGTGGGAGAAGGGGAAAGAGGGAATAAGGTGGACTAGGGTATCCATCGCCACGACACAAAAACGCATTCCTCCCTATAATAAATCAGAAATGCCCTGAAACTTTCACGACACGCCAAAAGCTGTGGACTGCAAGCTTGCAAACTGACTGGACAACTCGGTCCGCTCAGGGCGGAGAGGCAGGTTCAATGGCACCTTCTATCGAGGTCGTCTTGGTGTCCACTTGAGGAAGTCGATAGGACATTTCCTCTATGACGACCCCACTCATCTGGCATCCAGGGAGTCTCTCGTTTTTGTGAAAACACCATTCTCAGTTCGCGAACCAAGTCGCGTGTGCCACATGTAGACGGCTTGTATAATTTTGTCAGACTCTCTGTCCGAGTCCGCCCCCGGCCATCCTTACTGTGTCTCGCCACCGGACATAGGCGAGTGAGGGAGAGAGCGCGGCAGATGCTGGACAGTTCCGCCATCACTAAGCAAGTCCACGAGCACGTCACCGTCCTGTGCCCTTCACGCTCCGGGGCGCACGATGAACATTGTCGCGTAAGACGGTCGAACTGTCGAGTCAACTGTCATCCCGGCATTTCCCTCAGCTTTTGCTGTACTAGGCTGCGGCATCGGACGAATGCTACTGCATGGGCGTCGATGACGTTGACGCAGGCCGCGTGAAGCCGCAGCTGTCGGGTGATTGCCTAAAACTCAAATGAACATCCCAGGCAGCCCGAATGAGCAGCGTCACACTGGCAGGCTGCGGAAAGGCGCGGGAATAGATACTATAAAGTTGCTTATATGCATACAGTTTCGAGAGCATGCCACGGGGTCAGGGTTACGATTAGCTTGCCGACGGCATGTTTCAGCAGTATTCTAAGGTCGCATTTTCCGGCTTCTTCCTCGCGAAGGGTGAGGAGCTCCGCCACATAGATAGTCGTTCAGTCACCCTTGATGGCTGGCGAACTCCACTGTGGCTGACGACTGCTACAGTGAGACGACGACCGGTGTTGGTTCATGTCGCCCAGAGGATTGCATATCACCCTCCCAGTAAAGCTTTCTGTTTACAGATAAAGATTAGTTTAGTGACTGGCTGATGTGGAGCTGCACACGCTGGACATCCTCACTAAGTTTAGTTCGCCGGTCGAGGCTGATCACCGGCTGTGGCCGCCATGCTGTGCACGGCTTCGTGCAGCCACAGAGATGAGGGCTGTGTGCCAAGGTGGGGCGAAGTGGAAGTATCAGCTTGACTCGTCATGGAGGTTGATGGTGACCGCCAATGTACGACTGCGATTATGTCCGGTTTAATCGGTCTAGCTGGTGTCGCGTATGTTAGCCCTCCACGCGTGACCATCTTCAGCAGAGTAGCTTCTTACAGTATTCTCCATCGGCCACCCAGCCGCATTGGCTAACCGAGAGTGGTTGTACAACTGAAAGACGAGTCCTAGATGGCGTGGATCTGTTTAATTTCCGTGGAAATTAATGCGCGGACTTGGAGTAAATTCTTCGGAACAGACCTTTTTAGGCACGGTCGGAAAGTTGATATGAATATTGGAGCTGAAATCCATCAACCACTGCGGAGTAACCTTGTAATATTCACAAGCCGCCGACAGGCACCAGTAGTATGCAATTATTTATCATAATGACGACAAGCACTAGCTTAAAAGAGACGGAATTTTATCACTACGGGCAGTTGTACCACGCTATTCAATTCAGCCTAAGGAGGGTATTACTTTGAAAACACCGAAGACCGGCCGGGTGCATGAGTCTGAGGGCAGCAGCTACATCCTCAGTGATTCCAGTGGCATGCAGGAATCTGCCTAGACTGCACGCATAAGCAAGCAGCGCTTGCTGCGCGTACTGAGCCATAGGTAAAGGACTTAGGAGACACTGCAGGTCCGCGTGAAAGCCATGCCATGGCCGACGCAGTCCCCTCCCACCCCCATATTGGAAGATCAGAAACATTAAACACGTTGGACAGGTAAAGCTGGGCACGGCAACCAGCCATACCTCACCAGAGTCTTGCCATCCAATAGAAAATCACGAAAATCCCCTGCCAACCGCGCGTGCATCACATAAGGAGTGACGTACGTTGGCCTGAGCCCGTAGAGCGCGCACGCGTCCAGCGTCGGCGACAACAGACGGTTCCTCTCTCACCACGTGCGTCACGTACGACGGGGTGGCGCCAACTGACAATGTGGACTCGGCAAGCGACATGCGAGAGGCAGACTACTAAACTGGATCATTGTGCTGTTAGCGGGGCCCCAGGAGTTTCTCGAACTGCTCTGCTGCAGCAGACTACCGAAATGGGGCATACACAGTCCTAAGGCACATGACACAGGCCGGGAATACACAACCGACCACCAGAATTCACGCCATTGAGCATGTGCTTTTTTTAGCGGCGTGCGTTTTCTATTTTCATGGCCTGCTGAAGCAAAATTGTTTCTCACCGACGTGGCTCATGCCGGACGGGCAAATAAAAATGATCCCATCGATTAGCGTAACTACCCAATCGTTGGTATTAGCTCCCTAAAACACGACTTGCATTTCGAAGTGAAGGAAAGCAGCTTAGTATAAAATCAAGCTATTATTCCAAAGGGGAACTTGATCAGAAAATCCCGAGTCACAAAACAGGATTGTCCTTTGCAATAATGGTGGCAGTAATAAAAGATGCGTTGGGAGCCGTAAATAAGATCAAAGAATGCAGAAAAAAGAGCCAAACAGAGATCACAAAAGCACGAGTCAGAGGCCGGAAACAGTACCGGGA